AGGCATAATACCCAATTTTGTCCCCACTTTGGTTCGGAAATCTCAAGTTAGTCCCTTTATAGAAAAGTGAGTTGAATGGATCCTTACTTGTAATTAATTGACTCTAATGAGTCCCTTCCGTTAAATAGAAGGAAACGGAGTTAGTGGACTGATGATGTGGCAGTTGTCTTTGGTGAGGTGTCAATACGCAATTGTTTGCGTGCTTACGTGGTTCAGACAATTCTTTGTTGATACTGTCACCATCTTCGTTATCTTCTTCCTGCTCATGGATTTGTTTGATCTCATCATGGAGTGATTCTCGAGGTGATTGTGCTTGTTTCTTGACAGGGTTTTCTTGTTGCAGCTGAGTTGAAGATGTGCAGAGAAGCCGTGTCACTGAGTTGGAAACTATGCCAGTCAGCTGCTCGGATCTGGTGTGGTGAAGAGCAGTGTTGGCTATACTGGTCAGTGAGCGAGGGAAAGAGCTGGCCATTGTTGCTTGCTAATGATGTTAGGCAGATGATAAGAGACAAGAAACTTGTACCAGAAGGAAAAGAAAAAACACTGAAAATAGAGCAAACAGGAATTATTAATGTTAGTGCGACACAGACATTCAAGACTGAAATTATGGCAGACTATCCCACCCCTAATATAAGGGAAGAATATTATCTCGTTATTCATAACATTTCAGCACAATTTATATCCAAAAAAAAAGTATTAATCATATTTCTTGGATTTCATTGGTCAACGGGGTAACACAGATCAACAATGTTCCCAAACACCTATTCACGAACATCTGCAATGTTCATTCTTATGAATTTCAAGAACAGAAGATCATAGCTAAACATTTTGCCTCTTAAACATTCCCTTCACTTCCTCATGGCCTGCTTTATTATCAAGTAGCATATATAGGAACCTCTCAAACAATTTCCACATATATGGAAACATGCTTTGCAGATTCCTTTCTTTCCCCTGGACTAGACCAAAACCCTAGCGCACCCCAAAGGTACGTCATTTCCGGCATTACCAGCCATTGTCGTGGCATTTAAAAATGGTTCTTGAAGTAATCGATGGTTCAGAAAAAAAATGAATGAGTAAAAAGAGAGGGGAAAATGTTCGGTGGTGATGCTGGAGATGAAAGAACCCTTCTTAGAAGAGGGAAAGAAAAAAAGGGAGTGGTGGCGTCGGTGGAGAAGCAAGCTCCGGCGAGGGCAGCGGTGAATCTGGGCCGCGAGCGGAGAGAGAAGAAGCGTCGCAGCCATCTGGGTCCTGGTGACGTGCGGCGGCGTGGGATCCGTCCGCGGTGGCTGAATCGAGGCGCGGCAAGGATGGATTCGGAGCAGATCTGGGGCGTACGTGAAAAGCGAGGTCCTCCCTCGCACGCGAGAAGGAGGGGCTGGAGCGGCGTCCGACGATGGCCGTCCGTGGGTGTCGGAGATGGCATCGATGCCGGTTGGAATGCGGTGGCCATTTTTGGTTGGGAGGCCAGCGAACTGTAGGGAGAAGAAAGAGACTCTGGGTCTCATCCCGTTGGAATGGCGCGGAGAGAAGAGGAGAACCTGAAGCTTTCTGAACCACGTAAGCACGCAAACAATTGCGTATTGACACCTCACCAAAGATAACTGCCACATCATCAGTCCACTAACTCTGTTTCCTTCTATTTAACGGAAGGGACTCATTAGAGTCAACTAATTACAAGTAAGGATCCATTCAACTCACTTTTCTATAAAGGGACTAACTTGAGATTTCCGAACCAAAGTGGAGACAAAATTGAGTATTATGCCAAATATTTACTATCCAAAAACCGGGACTTTGGCGCAAAGTATGAGTGAGTAACAGTACACTCCTTTAGAGCACTTCCTGTTATCGTTCAAAATCCTTAAAGCCCTACACACTCTCACTTTCAAATGGTTCAAACGGCAACCCTATGAAACCCTCCCCGCTCCATTTCCAGAATCCCAACCTTCTCCTCTGCCCTAACCCTTTCTATTCCATGGCATTCTCTTCCGCGTTCCGCTTCCTCCGCCTCTCTCCATCCTACCCTCGTCTCCTCTCCCCAGCCCACCCTCGTCTCCTCTCCCCATTCCAACATCGTCTCATATCCGCCCGCGCCCCTCGCCCTCCGGCGGCGGCGGCCAGGGCCGTTAGGCGCAGCGACAGGAATGACAGTGTGACGGCCATAACGGATAGCGGTAACGGTAGTGAGGGAAGGGTCGTGCCCACGGAACTTCACAAGGAGGCCACGGAAGCTTACATGTCGTATGCGATGTCGGTGCTTCTCGGTCGGGCGTTGCCGGATGTTCGCGACGGCTTGAAGCCCGTGCACCGAAGGATTCTGTTAGTTCTCCGTTTTAAGTTTTTATTTTTTGCATTTTTTTTAATGTTTTCATTGTCTTCATCGATGGGTTGTGGTTTAGGGTCTGTTTTGACCAAGAAGAAAAAAAAAGAGGAAATTAGCTTCTCACCAAGTTAAAATTTTGTTCTTAAAAAGCTTATGTAGCTTCTCCAAATTTTATTTTTATTTTGTGCATGTAAACTAATTTTAGTTCGAGAAATTATTTTTTCATATCTTTCTCTTCTAGTAGTCCTTATATCGTCCGTAATTTGAAATTAGTTCATTTGATGTTTTACTTGTACGTTTTTTCTCTTCTTTTATGAATTAAGGGGGAAAATTCAAAATTTATTTGGTTTTGGGTTTCGGTGGTTTTCTTTTGAAGCGTCTGTAGTTTACTAGTCGAGGGTTACTGGAGAATTTGAAATTTGTTCATTTAATGTTTTGCTTGTTTGATTTTTCTCTTAATTTATAAAATAAAGCGGGAATTTCAAAATTTGTTTATTTTTGGCTTTGAGTCTTTTAGTTGAAGCGTGTTTGTGGGTTGATAGTCGAAAGATACTGAATAATTTGAAATTAGTTCATTTGAGGTTTTTCTTGTTTAATTTATTATATTCAAACTAGCTCGTATAAAATTAAAAATATAGATATTTTTCAATAAATTGATATGTGTGCATCGGTCAAGTGTCTGATTTGGCTAGAGGTAATAACTTAAACGCTCCTGCTAACAAAAAATAAATTTTTAATGGGACATGTTTGCGTCGGGGTCGGAAACATGTTTGACTGACATTGGTGATACTTCGTACTTCAGAATTTTACGAGTTTTCTTTTACTCTTTAAACTTCCAAATTTTCTTTCCCTCACCTTATGTATGAGAACATTGCTGTAACTGGTTATTTTAATAACAATGGATGAAAAAACAGAAGTAATTTAGTTTTTTTTTTTTTGTGGGGGAAGAGACAGACTTATAATGCATTTCTGCCTGTATTCCTCGTGTCTCTGGTGGATTGTGTTTGGAATTCGGTATTAAATTTGTCACTTGCATTAGTCTGTCACTGTTTGACTTTTGCCATGTGGGAGCTTATTATGCTTTTACCATGAGTAATTCTATTGTGTGAATTATTGGTTCACAATATTAATGCAGTTCAAAATTTTAATACTTATTGAAACAGGTCTTTGTCATTTGTAGTGAATTTTCTCAATCATAACATCTTTGTGCTTGTCCTTCATGAATTGTATTTGTATTAAATGTTGCATTGATTCACGTTTAGTTTAAGCCCATCATCACTTCTTTTCATTATGTGAAGTTTTTGAGATGGTCACTTATAGTTTAAAGTGTAGCGTTAACAAAGTATAGGTTGTATTCCAAATTGTCTAATTGTACTCTTCTGTCTTCACTAGCCACTTTTAATAGTAATTTTCTGAATTATGCCAGTTAAATGGGAATAAGAAATAAAAATTCTAATTATGCTTATCTGAACACAATTTATTGAATAGAGTGAAATCTAGGAAATGTAATCCTAAGTAATTAAAGCTGATCTTGAATACACATATTTGGGAATGTGAATCATCCCACTATTCTAATATTGAGTTGTTGCATTTTGACAATTGTAGTTGAGATTTGATTTCAATATAATCTACTATTTTGAATTCAGATTTGCAATGCACGAGCTTGGTCTCTCATCCAAAAAACCTTTCAAGAAGTGTGCGAGAGTTGTTGGAGAGGTGACTATGTAGCCCTTGACGTTAAATTCTTAATGTTGTTGAATGATTTAATATGTTTGTCTTGAAGCAGTTTCGGACTACTCATCAAATTATTATCCCATTGCTATTTTCTTTTTGTTTGTTGTGGTGCTATATGATGCTGTTATTTGTAGGTATTGGGAAAATTCCACCCTCATGGAGACACTGCTGTATATGATTCCTTGGTTCGAATGGCCCAGGTATACATTTACCTTTCACTTTCCAGCTTCATACTTAATATATTGTTGCGTATGGCCTAGTTGTGGAGAAACATTTCAATAATTAAGTATGTTATAGTCGATTATTGTTATAATCATTAATTTGAGCATTTTTTTTGTTTGTTAAAAAATAAAGAAGGTGATTTTAATATAAATTGTTAAATCTAAAGTGTTGAGATTGTTTAAAAGTGTTGAGAATTGGAGAAACCAAGAAGGCATATGATGAATTCCATATGTTATGTTAAGACCACTAAGGAGCTATTTGATTTCTATGGAAGGAAACAATTGCAAAATTTCCCGTTATCATATTGTTGGCTAATAACATAAATATAGAATTAATCTAATTAATTCTAATCTCATGAATTGATTCTTATATCATGAGTTACTATATGTATAATATAGGATTCTACAAGATTATAAACAAAAAGAACTTCATTTTTATGTAAAATTATAGTAAAGGGCATGCATTATGGAGTTATTTGTAAAACTTAGTTTTGTACTTAAAAAATACATTTTGAAGATACAATGAGAAAACAAAAGATAAAGAGACTTAAGATTGAAACTGTAAAAATTCTAGAGGGCTTAATTGATCCCTCTCACAATCTTCTATTTATAAGAATAAATTGATACACAAATATATGATAAATAGGGTAACCCTAGACACAATATAATCATGATAAATGGAGTAATCCTAGACACAATATAATCATGATATATAGGGTAACCCTTGACACACTATAATGATGATAAAATAGGATAAATATCCTAACAACTGGCAACATACTCTCTCACATTCTCTTTTGAACACATCCTATACTAATGGCCAAAATTTATTGGAAAGCATTTAATTTTTACCATTTAACAACTCTCCTAATTTTGTAGTTTCCAATATTTTCTTAGGAATAGTGAAGTGTGTGTTAGAGAGAGTGTATTGCCAGCACTTTGCATGTGATAGAAAACCCTGTTCTACAGAAAAAAGTTTTTTTTTTTAATAGTATAATTTTTTTGGTACACATTATATTGATAATTTTTCCTAACATCAGATTTTTTAAAAGTTATTCTGCAAAATCAGTTTCTTCCCCTGAAATAGGTGCATATGAACATGCTAATATATTCTGGGCCGTTGAATGTTTTCTGTGGTATCAGTTAAGGTGTTTGATGACTGATAACTTATGGTAATTAAGTATTTTTCCCTTTGAAAAGTTCTCTATAGAAAGTTGCAAAAAAAGAAAATATTTTCCCATTATTGGCAATAACTGTTTCTTTAAAAACTTACTATTTTATTTGGATGAAATTTGTTTTTAACCCATGTAAATTTGATAAAAAATGGTTTATTCCTTCTTTTTTTCTTTATTTATGGTCCGTGTAAAGTTTAGTTTTTTTTTTCTTCTGAAAATCTTCTTTGTTATCACTAGATGGTGATGTGACCATGGTAGTAAGTATTGCATGATACACTATTTATATCTCACAATATGATATGAGTTGCAACCCCAATGATTTAATACTTTAGAAAACTTGTTTGTGCTCCCAAATTGGTGTAAAAAGACTTAATATGGTCTCTTATGTGAAATTGATGTTAACATTGTTTGAAAGTGTCACATGCCAAATTCTAGGTTTGCTACTTGTCAAAATCTGAGTAATTTTCTACCTTGGAACCTCTTTGATTTTGACATGTGGAACCTTCCAAGTAGGTGATCCAAATTTCTACACGTGATTGACCCATATGACATGAAGCACTTCCAAACGACATCAACGTTAATCTAACTGACGGGGTCTTTTCTACAAAAGTTGGTACTCAATTGAGTCTTTTAAAAAGTAGGTACTCAATTGAATACGAAAAATATTGGGATCAAAATGAATTAAAGACCTAAACATAAGGATCAAATTACTAATTAAATCTTATTTATCATTCCTCTGGAGTGTGAGATGGATTAGACCCTATGGTTTGGGTTTTTCTTGTATGATTATGACCTTAACCTTTTTGAGATTGTAGTTAATTTTTATCGAAGTTATTGTTGTTAAATGTTGGTTCCATGGAGGAATGGCATGGCAAATTTTTGCCCAATTTAGACAATTTGTTAAGGCATCCACTATGGCAGATGCCATAAGCTGCAATGGCTTGTTTGGGTGGCAGATATTTGGCCCTCTGCCATTATTGATAACAGTTGATTACATTTCCATTGCATCAGATGCTCAATTGAAGACTTGATAGCTATTTACTAAAATATGTCTCTAAAATGTTTGTTTTGGTGCATTAGTGTAATTATTTTAAATAAGCGCTATATTCTTGTTATTTTAGTTTTCTTTGATATTGTTGAATAAGGAAGTAATTTTCCTGAGACTGTCATGGTATTTTAGCATTACAAGCTTTCTTGATCAGCCTACCTATCTGTATATGTGTTTCCACTAAATTGGAAATGATGAAGTTCCTTTCACCTAAAGTGCTATTTTACATTTGTCCCTTTTGAAGGAACCATTGACATTATTATTTTATGTAGTTTATTTTGGGATATAATGGGCAGTTGTTAATTTGAAGTGTTGTATTCCATTTTAAAGTCTTTGTTTACTCTCTTTTCCTGTTGTCATGATGTATATGCTTTTCAATTTCTTTCAGGATTTTTCCTTACGCAGTCCTTTGATCCAAGGTCATGGGAATTTTGGGTCAATTGATGCTGATCCGCCTGCTGCCATGCGTTATACAGAGTGCAGACTGGACGTAGGTTTTAACATCTGATTTATTATTTTTAATCTAAACTGTCCAATTAGATCACTCTTGCTTTTATATCAGAAAGTGTCCATGCAATGTATATGTTTATATTTTTACTAAAAATTTGATGTCATTTTGGGTTCATACAAAGACGAGGAATTGTTTGCTTCAGAAAAAGATGAATGATTTAGTTTATGTGATGGATAACTTGAAGTTGAAATGTAGATAAATTCGAAAAACTGTCACTCTTCCATTTGGTGACATTGAATTAGATTATCAATGGATAACTGAAGAGGCAAATGATGTTGTTGGGATTGAGCAAGCTAAAGTTGAAAATGATGGTGAAAATGTTCACTTAGATGGAGCAACAACAGATCTTGCTCTAGATGCTCTTGATCTTGATAACATAACATTTGGGAACATTACAACACTTTCATGAGGGGAAGAGTTGGACGAAGAGGATGACGTAGATGATGAGGCCATTATTAGAGGATTAGAGGATTATACATAGACATTTTTGACATTTCAATTTTTGGTTTACAATATTTTTATAAACTTATTTATTTGAAGTTATATAATTTTGTGGACTTATTTGAATTAGGATGTTATTTATATAATTTTTTTTTCTTGTGAAGTAAACTCTTCTATGTAAACTCTCGAGGTTGACAATCTTAGTTTTATCTCTACCTGATATGAAATTTGGATTCTTCCCTATACACCACTCATGTCAAGCATTATTTGGCAAGGTATATGGATAATAACATGGCAGGTGACAATTGTTAGTGAATCTAGGATAAAATCTGATACCTTACATTTCATAAAAGAAAAGGAGAAGAGACTTTTTTTGGAGAAAAGTATGATATCATTAGTTATTTTGACTCTGTTACATCAATGAGCTTTATAGCTACCCTTAGAGTACTGAGAGAAAAGTATATAGTTTTATAGCTTCATACTAGAAATCTGGCTTGTAAAGTGGGGTTGTTATCCATTTATATTCTCTTTTAAGACATTATCTCTAGCAGATATAAGATTTGGATTCTTCCCAGTGTACTACTCGTGTCAAGCATTATTCGGTGTGGTATATGGATAATAATATGGCAGGTGTCCATTGTTAATGAATATATGATTACATTTGATACCATGTTACAGTTCATACAGGAAAAGGAGAAGATAATTTCTTAGAGTATCATTAATTATTTTGAATCTTTTACATCAATGAGCTTTACAGCTACTCTTAGATAGCTGGGAGAAAAGTATAAAGCTTTGTAGCTTTATACCAGAAATCTGGTTTTTNAGGCATAATACCCAATTTTGTCCCCACTTTGGTTCGGAAATCTCAAGTTAGTCCCTTTATAGAAAAGTGAGTTGAATGGATCCTTACTTGTAATTAATTGACTCTAATGAGTCCCTTCCGTTAAATAGAAGGAAACGGAGTTAGTGGACTGATGATGTGGCAGTTGTCTTTGGTGAGGTGTCAATACGCAATTGTTTGCGTGCTTACGTGGTTCAGACAATTCTTTGTTGATACTGTCACCATCTTCGTTATCTTCTTCCTGCTCATGGATTTGTTTGATCTCATCATGGAGTGATTCTCGAGGTGATTGTGCTTGTTTCTTGACAGGGTTTTCTTGTTGCAGCTGAGTTGAAGATGTGCAGAGAAGCCGTGTCACTGAGTTGGAAACTATGCCAGTCAGCTGCTCGGATCTGGTGTGGTGAAGAGCAGTGTTGGCTATACTGGTCAGTGAGCGAGGGAAAGAGCTGGCCATTGTTGCTTGCTAATGATGTTAGGCAGATGATAAGAGACAAGAAACTTGTACCAGAAGGAAAAGAAAAAACACTGAAAATAGAGCAAACAGGAATTATTAATGTTAGTGCGACACAGACATTCAAGACTGAAATTATGGCAGACTATCCCACCCCTAATATAAGGGAAGAATATTATCTCGTTATTCATAACATTTCAGCACAATTTATATCCAAAAAAAAAGTATTAATCATATTTCTTGGATTTCATTGGTCAACGGGGTAACACAGATCAACAATGTTCCCAAACACCTATTCACGAACATCTGCAATGTTCATTCTTATGAATTTCAAGAACAGAAGATCATAGCTAAACATTTTGCCTCTTAAACATTCCCTTCACTTCCTCATGGCCTGCTTTATTATCAAGTAGCATATATAGGAACCTCTCAAACAATTTCCACATATATGGAAACATGCTTTGCAGATTCCTTTCTTTCCCCTGGACTAGACCAAAACCCTAGCGCACCCCAAAGGTACGTCATTTCCGGCATTACCAGCCATTGTCGTGGCATTTAAAAATGGTTCTTGAAGTAATCGATGGTTCAGAAAAAAAATGAATGAGTAAAAAGAGAGGGGAAAATGTTCGGTGGTGATGCTGGAGATGAAAGAACCCTTCTTAGAAGAGGGAAAGAAAAAAAGGGAGTGGTGGCGTCGGTGGAGAAGCAAGCTCCGGCGAGGGCAGCGGTGAATCTGGGCCGCGAGCGGAGAGAGAAGAAGCGTCGCAGCCATCTGGGTCCTGGTGACGTGCGGCGGCGTGGGATCCGTCCGCGGTGGCTGAATCGAGGCGCGGCAAGGATGGATTCGGAGCAGATCTGGGGCGTACGTGAAAAGCGAGGTCCTCCCTCGCACGCGAGAAGGAGGGGCTGGAGCGGCGTCCGACGATGGCCGTCCGTGGGTGTCGGAGATGGCATCGATGCCGGTTGGAATGCGGTGGCCATTTTTGGTTGGGAGGCCAGCGAACTGTAGGGAGAAGAAAGAGACTCTGGGTCTCATCCCGTTGGAATGGCGCGGAGAGAAGAGGAGAACCTGAAGCTTTCTGAACCACGTAAGCACGCAAACAATTGCGTATTGACACCTCACCAAAGATAACTGCCACATCATCAGTCCACTAACTCTGTTTCCTTCTATTTAACGGAAGGGACTCATTAGAGTCAACTAATTACAAGTAAGGATCCATTCAACTCACTTTTCTATAAAGGGACTAACTTGAGATTTCCGAACCAAAGTGGAGACAAAATTGAGTATTATGCCAAATATTTACTATCCAAAAACCGGGACTTTGGCGCAAAGTATGAGTGAGTAACAGTACACTCCTTTAGAGCACTTCCTGTTATCGTTCAAAATCCTTAAAGCCCTACACACTCTCACTTTCAAATGGTTCAAACGGCAACCCTATGAAACCCTCCCCGCTCCATTTCCAGAATCCCAACCTTCTCCTCTGCCCTAACCCTTTCTATTCCATGGCATTCTCTTCCGCGTTCCGCTTCCTCCGCCTCTCTCCATCCTACCCTCGTCTCCTCTCCCCAGCCCACCCTCGTCTCCTCTCCCCATTCCAACATCGTCTCATATCCGCCCGCGCCCCTCGCCCTCCGGCGGCGGCGGCCAGGGCCGTTAGGCGCAGCGACAGGAATGACAGTGTGACGGCCATAACGGATAGCGGTAACGGTAGTGAGGGAAGGGTCGTGCCCACGGAACTTCACAAGGAGGCCACGGAAGCTTACATGTCGTATGCGATGTCGGTGCTTCTCGGTCGGGCGTTGCCGGATGTTCGCGACGGCTTGAAGCCCGTGCACCGAAGGATTCTGTTAGTTCTCCGTTTTAAGTTTTTATTTTTTGCATTTTTTTTAATGTTTTCATTGTCTTCATCGAGGGGTTGTGGTTTAGGGTCTGTTTTGACCAAGAAGAAAAAAAAAGAGGAAATTAGCTTCTCACCAAGTTAAAATTTTGTTCTTAAAAAGCTTATGTAGCTTCTCCAAATTTTATTTTTATTTTGTGCATGTAAACTAATTTTAGTTCGAGAAATTATTTTTTCATATCTTTCTCTTCTAGTAGTCCTTATATCGTCCGTAATTTGAAATTAGTTCATTTGATGTTTTACTTGTACGTTTTTTCTCTTCTTTTATGAATTAAGGGGGAAAATTCAAAATTTATTTGGTTTTGGGTTTCGGTGGTTTTCTTTTGAAGCGTCTGTAGTTTACTAGTCGAGGGTTACTGGAGAATTTGAAATTTGTTCATTTAATGTTTTGCTTGTTTGATTTTTCTCTTAATTTATAAAATAAAGCGGGAATTTCAAAATTTGTTTATTTTTGGCTTTGAGTCTTTTAGTTGAAGCGTGTTTGTGGGTTGATAGTCGAAAGATACTGAATAATTTGAAATTAGTTCATTTGAGGTTTTTCTTGTTTAATTTATTATATTCAAACTAGCTCGTATAAAAGTAAAAATATAGATATTTTTCAATAAATTGATATGTGTGCATCGGTCAAGTGTCTGATTTGGCTAGAGGTAATAACTTAAACGCTCCTGCTAACAAAAAATAAATTTTTAATGGGACATGTTTGCGTCGGGGTCGGAAACATGTTTGACTGACATTGGTGATACTTCGTACTTCAGAATTTTACGAGTTTTCTTTTACTCTTTAAACTTCCAAATTTTCTTTCCCTCACCTTATGTATGAGAACATTGCTGTAACTGGTTATTTTAATAACAATGGATGAAAAAACAGAAGTAATTTAGTTTTTTTTTTTTTTTGTGGGGGAAGAGACAGACTTATAATGCATTTCTGCCTGTATTCCTCGTGTCTCTGGTGGATTGTGTTTGGAATTCGGTATTAAATTTGTCACTTGCATTAGTCTGTCACTGTTTGACTTTTGCCATGTGGGAGCTTATTATGCTTTTACCATGAGTAATTCTATTGTGTGAATTATTGGTTCACAATATTAATGCAGTTCAAAATTTTAATACTTATTGAAACAGGTCTTTGTCATTTGTAGTGAATTTTCTCAATCATAACATCTTTGTGCTTGTCCTTCATGAATTGTATTTGTATTAAATGTTGCATTGATTCACGTTTAGTTTAAGCCCATCATCACTTCTTTTCATTATGTGAAGTTTTTGAGATGGTCACTTATAGTTTAAAGTGTAGCGTTAACAAAGTATAGGTTGTATTCCAAATTGTCTAATTGTACTCTTCTGTCTTCACTAGCCACTTTTAATAGTAATTTTCTGAATTATGCCAG